TACCATCTAACGGGGTGTAGCCTAATACTCCTTGTCTTACGCTCCTCCCACCAGGGACTGCCATCCTGAAACTTGAAATAAATTTAATTCTTGTCTTCGACAGCTCAATCAGAGTGTAGTTTGAAAAGGTGATCTTAGGAGATTAAAATGAGTTCGTAGTCTCATTTTCACATGTCAAAGAGTATAGTAACATAGTTGTTGTTATTTGGGGTGAGTAGAACTCAGAGTTTTGTGTGGGAGGAGAGCGGGACACTGGCGCTCTCGGGCCTCAGTATAGCATCTGAAGCCCCTCCACCCACAGATTCCAGCAGGTCAAGAGCGGTCGTTGAATGTTAGGACGACATCCAACCCTGGTACTGGAGATGGACGAAACCACGGAGACCGAGTAGCGTCATATCCACGCGGCCCAGCCAGGCCGCGGCTCAGCCAGGCCAGCCGCCCACCAACCTGAGTTGACGGTTCATCCCTGATGATCTCACGCATCATAGTAAACACAGCCAGCTCTCAGTAAGTGTTGTGTGTTTTGAGTCCAGCTCTAAGTAGTGTGCCGTGTTATTCATCTGAGTACCCATGTATGTATATCCTCAGGTATGAGTGTGTGGAAACACCAAGAGTATGAGGTCGCCACTTAATTCTTGGCCAATGTAGAAAAATAACAGAAAGAAGCTACATCCCTGATAATGTTAAAGTAGTATCGTTGGTATGTTTGTAGAGTCCTGTGACTGATTAAGAGTTGAGAATGTCAGGTACCGTGTATTGCTGGTGCTCGAGTGTGCCGTATGTAAGCTTGTCATGTGGTGTGTTCTTTTAAATGTACAACCAGTAATGATGTAAGAAGCTAGTGTATCTAACTGGAATTACATATGAGTAAAGCCAAGGAGTTGATCCTTGAAGTTGTATGTTAATGACACCTTTAACCAAATTTAATTTCATATTAATAAACCATTTTTAGAGTATGTTGGGGGTATCATTTTCTAAAAGTATTTACCTTTATTCTTGTCCATAGCTTGATACAAGAATTACAGTAACCCATGTGTCCTAACCCTCACCATGCTACCAAAGGTCAGAGGTTATGAAGTAACTATATGAAATAAAATAGGTAGACAGAATTAATGGAGAAAATGAATGAAGTAAGAAATTGAGAGAAGAACAGGTTGAAGAATTTAAAAGTTAACAGCAGGGGGATAAATTAATAAGAAAAGACTAAAAGAAACGGCCCCCTTTATAAATGGTGACAGCGGTTTTTTGCCCCCTTTATAGTACAGTCGGCCCTTAACATACGCGGGGGTTACATAGTAGAGATAGCCGTGGATGTTAAAAATCCGCGTATATGTGCTGCGCCCCCCCCCCAAAAAAAAAACCCTGGCCCCCATGTCCTTATTTACCGTATATACCTGTGTGTAGTTCGAGTTTTTAAGACCAAATTATTTGGCAAAAAATTGGGGGTCGACCTCTAAAAGGGTAATAGTTTCGTTAGGTTGAAAAATATTTACCAGTAACTACCAGTAAACAATGGAAACGATGCACCAACGCACCACCAGCTGTGAGTGTCGGTACAGTTGCCAGGGCAGATCTCTTGCGTCATCATCGCAAGCCCAAAGTAGCCAAATCCATGGTATGGTAGCACAGGACGATGTAAAACATAAAGTATTCATTTATTAAAGTGTATTTATAGATACTGTACATAAATTTTTGTTCATTACATTTGAAACATCAATCTTTGTTAATTAAATTTGAAACAAAAGAAAACTATGATACCGTATTTTCATTAAAATATTTCATCACAAGTATATTTTACCTTAACTGTGACTGAATGAATATATTCTCGGAAATAAATATGGAAATGTAATACTTTTGCTGGAATGACGTACATATTACAGTGGAAAGTGGGATAAAATCATGACGAAAACAATGACTTTCGCTTTCTTTCGTTGTTCAAAAGATTTTACCGTAATCTCTTTTCGAATGGTTTTCAGTTAAAAAACTGTTGTACTCGTACTCTATTACAATAATATTCTATCCTATCATTAGCCTTATAATCCCACAACTGAAAACCATTCGAAAAGCGATAACGGTAACATCTTTTGAACGAAAGAAAAAGTCATTGCTTTCGTCACAATTTTATCCCACTTTCCACTGTAATACGTACATCATTTCAGCAAAAATATTACATTTCCATGTTCTCAGAAATAAATGGTAGTTTTGTTGAAACGTAATGTACAGTATTTAATATTAAAATGCAAAAAGAGCTATAAAAACAATTAATACTGTACACCCGTAATGTACTGGCTGGCATCTCCACTCGTCCCTGCTCCCGCCAGTCACCTCCTCCCCGCTCTATCCCTCCGCCTCCTCCCCGCTCTATCCCTCCACCTCCTCCCCGCTCTATCCCTCCGCCTCCTCCCCATTCAATCCCTCCGCCTCCTCCACATCGTCACTTCTGTTGTATTACAATAATATTCTATCCTAATTCACTTGAATAAATACTACGATACCATATTTCTGAATATTTTCATTAAAATCCATCAAAATCATTTTCCTTGTCATCGTCTTCAAGCACCAAACAGCTCCTCCCAGTCTTCTCCTTGAACAGGGCTAGAGGGTACGTGTTTTTCGAATCGTTTTCAATTAAAAAAATGTTACAGCACATGTATATTTTACCTAAACTGCGTCTGAATGAATATATTCTCAGAAATAAATAGTAGTTTTGCTGAAACGTGATATATTTCAATGTAAAATAGGATAAAATACATGACGAAAACAAAAGACTTTACCTAGCCTTCAAATGTTCAAGAGATGTTACTCGTTTTTTTAATAATTTTCGGTTAAAATACTGTTATATTACAATGATATTATATTCATACTGTGCTTGATATACTACATTCACGGAAATGTAATATTTTTGCTGAAATGACGTATGTATTACAGTGGAAAGTGGGATAAAATCGTGACGAAAACAATGACTTTCGCTTTCTTTCGTTCAAAAGATGTTACCGTAATCGCTTTTCGAATGGTTTTCAGTTAAAAAAACTGGTGCATCACAAGTGAATTAGGATAGAATATTATTGTAATACAACAGTTTTTAACTGAAAACCATTAGAAAAGCGATTACGGTAACATCTTTTGAACGAAAGAAAACGAGTCATTGCTTTCGTCACTTTCCACTGTAATACGTACGTCATTTCAGCAAAATATTACATTTCCATATTCTCAGAAATAAATAGTAGTTTTGCTGAAACGTAATGCATTTCAATGTAAATTAGGATAAACTACATGAAAACAAAAGACTTTACCTAACCTTCCGATGTTCAAGATATGTTACTCGTTTTTTTAGTAGTTTTCGGTTAAAATACTCTTATATTAGTGATATTCTATTCATACTGTGCTTGATATAATACATTCACGGAAATGTAATATTTTTGCAACTACAATGCTGATGTCAACACAAGCGTGGTTACAGCGAGACTGACTGAGTGAGGGAGAGCTATGCGTGTGTGTGTGTGTGAGGTTGCGGGAGCGGGCGGTGTCCCGTGTTCGGTGCCGCGCGCGAGTTGAATGGCGCGCGATTTGAATGTACTTTTATTACTTCAATGTACAGAATATTCCTCCGGCGGGGCAATCCGCGTATTTGCAAATCCGTGTATTATAAACCCGCGTATGTTAAGGGCCGACTGTACATTTTCTGGAAGGGTAAGCCTGCCTGCTGCGGAGAGAAACAGCATTTGTGGATTTGGCTTTGCCATCTGCCAACGCATCCTACACAGGCTAACTGAAATGCCTATTGGGATCAACAAGCGCCTCATGACGCTCTGAGTCCCACTGTATCACTCACGTCATGCCTTCTTCATCAGTGCATACACCCCAACACTGGATGCAGAGGATGACATCAATGAAGCCTTTTATGCCAACCTTGACAGAGTGCTAACCTCTATCCCCAGAGAATACAAGGTTGTGCTCCTTGGTGACTTTAATGTCAGAGTTGGCAGAGATGCTGACATTTGGCAGGGAACCATAGGGAGAAATGAACTTGGCAAGTGTAATCTCACTGGAACTCTCCCGCTCCATCATTGAGAACCCTCATAGTCAGTAGTGGAAGTTGTCAGAGACACATGCACACAACCTCCCTTGCTACTCATACAACCTGTAGTGTAATCCACGGAGGGGTGAGGGCCACCTTGTTTAAACCCACATAGTTTAAGGGGGCGTCCAGCTAAACATATGATGAAAATTGGAAAATTACGAAAATATTCACAAAATTCCTGAGGAAAGCTGTTGCCCGTGGCTATCTGCTGATGTATTTTGGTTTAGTAATTCGGAATATTTATGTAGCTATGCATGATTGTACACCCCCCCCCTGCTTCATTTAGAGGCCTTTCTGTTTACATAACAAAAGTTGTAGAAAAGTATTTATAATAATATTTTGATATAAAGTAATACAAATCACTTGGAGAATTCAGTATCTGGCACCTCTCTCAGTTAGCTAGCAGCAGGACCAGAGTCTGAGGCTGCTTGTAGTCCTCAGTTACCCACGAAAGAAGTGAGAGTGAGGTTGTTCCCACCATGTGTTGCTCTCACGCCACCCTTGTCTATCAGCCAGTATCTCAAAATGTGTTTTTTTAACCTTCAAATCCCTAAGGCTGGGCCATTTATGGGCTGATTCTAATGAAACACACAATTAAGTACAGTAGTACAATAACATATTGGCCATGGCTGAACATATACATTTTATTTATATTTGGTTTGGTTTATTATTTGATGATTTATCTTTATAAATACTTGGAAGAAAAAAATGGTAAGTTAAGGACAAAATTCATGTACTCGATATGAAAGTGATAATGAGAAATATCATCTGGTGCAGGTGTGTAGTCTCCTACCATGTGTGTGTGTGTCATCTGGTGCAGGTGTGTAGTCTTGACCCAAACTGTTCATAATGACGTTAACTACCAAGTATAAAGCAGTGCTGTGCTGTGCTGTACTGTGCTGTGCTGTACTGTACTCACCCGCGTCAGTTTATGTCCGTTCAGAAGCAAAATAGCGCGGTGGAACTGTTTGGTGAGGAAGTAGGTCTGAGCCAGCCAGTAGACGTCAGCGGGCGAACCATTGCTCAGACTCACCACCTTGTCCGCCCAGAAGACGGCAGCCTTGTAGTGATGCTGTAACACCACCACAACAATTAACCCAAGATGGCAGGAAGAAATCTAACTTTAATTAGGTTTTTATAAGTTAGAAAAGGTACTTGGTGAGGATAATTTAGGTAAGCTTTGGTTAGGTTACATTAGGTTGGGGTTGATTAAGTTAGGTTAAGTTAGATATAAAGTATGTTAGTATAGTATGCCAACAAAACAGGTTGTTTTCTCACATTGCCACCAGGTCATAATGAATAACAAATACTGTGGTGGATCACCACCTACAGCCTTAGGACACATTATTTGTCATCATCATCATACAGTACAGTATATTACAGTACATTTACTTATATTACACATAAAAGAGTACAATATTATACACACCTTCCCTGATTTACAAAAGTGTTCCATTCCTGAAAAACCTTCATAAATCAATTTGTCATAAATTGGATCACATTTTCCATAGACATTCATTATAAAACTTGAGATACATTTCTATAAAGATTATCTCCCAAAACTGTCTTAAAATTTTTTAAAACAGGTTTTTAATGACAATTTTTGGTGTCCACAATGATTATAAGTCAATAATAAACATATAGACATAAGAAGAACAGTACAGTAGAGCACAGTACTGTACTGTACAGTAAAGTACTGTGCTGTACTGCACTGTATGACAAGTGGAATATATGATCAGCAAATATGTAAAGACATATTTAAAATTCAAGAAGAATCAACAAGGAGAAGACACAGTAAGAAAATATACTAGGAGAGATCAAGATTAAATACAGTATTAAATACCTTCTGCAACAGTAACTAACATGGGGAATAATTTGCCAGACTGGGTAGTGAATCCTGACACAGTTTTGAGTTTTGAAAGAAAACTGGTTTAGTGTAGCCCACCAGGCACAAATGGTTGACCGTAAAGCACAAATTCAATATGTTGTACTGAATATAACAGCCCCGGGGTGACCACAAATACTGAACAGTGTAAGGAAAGGCTTAGACCTGGAGTTACAGGCTTAATACGGATACACCCCATTTCGTCACCACCTGGTTTGTCACAAAAAACAAAAACACTTTATCACCACTAACGGTCTGGTGATAAAACAGTCGCTAATATTCGTGACAAATTGCAAGTTATTATTTTACACGAATAGAAATTAGACATGTTTACAGACGACTCGAGATTTGTGTTATTATACTGTACATGAATATTAATTATTGAATAAAGAAAACAATTAAAACATTGATATATAAATAAAATACAAAACAAATAAAGGTAATTTCTTCTACACCACCGTCAGCGCAGGTCAGACTGTCAGGTGAGTTCTTTAAACAATGGGTAATTATCAGACAAATCACTCCATGGAAACGATTGGCGGTTATTTAACAGCTTTTTAATTATTTGATCTTTTTGATATGTCCAGCTTTACCGGGCCACATTGCCTGTTGCATGTTAAAAAAAGGAAGTTTTTAGTGACTACTACTAGTAAATAGATAACTAATGTGCATTTAAATTGCATCTTACATTTTATCAGTTACTGTCCATACATGCGTTCTTTAATAAATTATTTTAGTTAGATGTTTGCATTATACAGCGTATGTACACAAAGAGAGTAAACCAGCCATAATGTCTTCACTGCTTCAGTGAATACATAATGAAGGTCCAAAGCCCATGAAATGGTGATGGGAATGAACGCAGTGACAAAATGGATGAAAAATGTGGTGAAGAAATGGGCACACCCCTTCCCCCCTCTCAATAGCCTCATCCAGAAGTCTTCTGTGAGTAGAGTAATTATTATATGGGGTCCTGTAGTGTCTCATCATGTAAACAATGGATTCTGTATAAGCATAGATGGTTATAGTGAGTCTTTAAAAGGTTTCATCCTACAAGGTAAAGAGAACAAAGATTTTTGTTGTAATTTATGGGAAGATGTAGCACAGCATCTTGATAACTAACTTTCTTAGTCTCACACAAAGTTTACAGCACTTCAGTCTGCTTCCTGTAGGTGTTTGACTTGTGTGTTAATAATGTGACTATAGGAATTATTAATGTATTAGACACTGGGGCCCAGGAGACTCTACCATAATTGCTCTACAGAAATAATCTGGTTTTCTTTTCACTGGAAGTTTTTCATCTAAGAAAATTTAGCGTAGGTAATGTCTGAGAACAGCACTACCACCAGAAGGAGTTGTTCATTCATTCCACATATTATAATAGTAAGAACACTATTTCAAACATACAGTAGTGAATATTTTGCAGTGACCGGCTCAGTTCCTACTAATGCTATTTTCCCGGTAGTAAGCTCTGATTGGCTAAGTACTTTTTGTTTAATATGACAGGGGTTTGCCTTCTGGCTAGGAAACTAGGTAAAGTTAGGTAGGTTTCTTTGGCTGGTTAGGTAAATGTCGCCCGATTTATAATAATAAGAACATCTGGAAAAATGAAAAAATTGAACAACTCCTTCTGGTGGTAGTGGTGTTCTCAGACATTACCGTATTTTTTACCTTATTACAAGTTAGGTTAGGTTAGGTTTTCAAAGTCATGTTTGGTGCATTTTTTAGCGTTTTACCCCACATTTTCCCTCTACTGCCCACTTTGAACAACCAATATTGTTGGTAATTGGGGAGGTCTTGTCTGTTAAAATACTCAAAAAGTATAAATTTACTCTGGAAACCTAAATGAACATATTTTATTATTATTATTTTTTCCCATATACAGGTAAATAGAAATATGAAAGTCCATGTTCGACCCAAATCGAATCTTGACCTCTACTCTTGTAAATAGTTTCCAGGCACAACAGAAATATGGTTAGGTATATTTATAGCTACACAACCATCGACTCACGGTGAAATAAATGCCAAAGCCACGATCAAATACAGTTCTCACGTCGTTCACCGATAATGAATGTGTAGCCAATCAGAGCGCACTCACGGTAAAATAGTGTTAGTAGGAACGTAGCCGGTCATGACAAAATATCCACTACCTATTTTAAAATAGGCGACAAATTTTTATTATGAGTATTTTTTGTATTTTTTCTCTATGATCATAACTCACCTGTAGTGGACAGGGCATGAAGACTGAGGGAAACTGTGTGGTAAAACACGGTAAAAAACTGATCATATGAAACTAAATTGATGTCTCTATGTGTTTTGAGTTGTGTTAGGTTAGGTTAGGTACATGCACTCGATCTATTAACTCAGATTAAATTAAGTTTTCCAATTTTTTGTGACTTCGTGACACCAAATACCAGTCGAGAAGTGATTGGCAGTCCGATTTATTCATGTAGGACCATTATTTGACTTCATTGCAGCTACATTTGGGTACATTTGGGTAATTACTCGCTCCCTCGGTACATGCACGCGATCTATTAACTCAAATTAAATTACGTTTTCCAATTTTTTTTTACTTTCTGACACCAAATACTAGTCGAGAAGTGATTGGCAATCCGATTTATTCATGTAGGACCATTATTTGACTTTATTGCGGCTACATTTGGGTAATTAGTCGGACCCCTAAGGCCAGACTAGACCAACACTGGAGCAGGTTCAGGTACATTCAGGAGCCAGTGCATGCCCAGTACTTGTCAACAGTGCCAGTACATGCCCAGTACTTGTCAACAGTGCCAGTACATGCCCAGTACTTGTCAACAGTGCCAATACATGCCCAGTACTTGTCAACAGTGCCAGTACATGCCCAGTACTGGCCAACAGAGACGTGACCGTGGTGGTGATTCTAAAGGAGAGAATAAAAGGTTCACCATGACCAGTCTTACCCTCTCTATATAACCGCGAACAACCTTCCTAAACTTGTCCAGGTCCACAGACTCGGGAGGAGAGGTGGGCATAGATTCAAACTCCTCAGCCATGTTGTTTGTTTACTACACTACACTCTGGTCTGGCGCTAAACTGTTACCTTTACTCTCTGTTTAAATGTCTTTATTTCGTCTTTAAATATCACTTTTTAATACTTTATAATTATTTTAATAATAATGGCATTTAAATATAAATTACTTAAAGGTATATTATTTGAATGTACACAAACCACTGCAAAGTATAATATAAATCACTACTGTGTAATTAAAGTGAACAAGGTTAGCTAGTATTTATATATTCAATTAATATAAATTGCAAAATATTTAACAGGAAGTGAGGCAGGAAATATTTCAATTCTTTATGCTTTAACCTGACACCCTATTGTCTCTGCCTGGTACGGATTAAGCTTAATAGGGGCCTGAGGCACAGATCAACTTGGGGCCCCCTACCCCTGTATATATATATATATATATATATATATATATATATATATATATATATATATATATATATATATATATATATATATATATATATATATATATACAAAATTTACCAAAGTTTATCAATGATTTCATCAATAATAAGCTTCTGCAAAATAACACATTCAATGTTCATAAGATACAGAAAATTGAGACGTTGTTAGGACATCGTTGAACGAAGTTCATGTTTTATATGCTTCAACGTCGAGAATGTTTGGATTTGGGGGCCCCTTAGAGTCGGGGGGGCCTGAGGCCAGTGCCTCATGGTTAATCCGGCCCTGCTGGGCATGCACTGGCTCATGAATGTATCTGAACCTGCTCCAGTGCTGGTCAAGTCTTGTCTTGAAAGAGCTCATACTTGGTGACATCACAACACTCTCTGGACCGATATTCTGGAACGGGGTGGAAATATCGACAATATTTACCTGGATTTTGCCAAGGTTTTCGACAGTGTACCCCACGAAAGGCTTAAAATCAAACTGGAAGGGTACAGAATTCGGGGAAATGTCCTAGCGTGGATAGAAGATTTTCTACATGACCGCAAGCAGTGTGTGGTGATTAATGGTACGAAATCGTCATCTGTACCTGTTATAAGTGGGGTACCACAGGGCAGTGTATTGGGCCCGCTGTTGTTTGTTTGTTTCATAAATGACATGCCTGATGTTGTACACTTCTCTATACAAATGTTTGCCGATGACGCCAAACTATTTCGGGAAATCAAGAAACAAGCGGACTGTGAAGAGCTGCAGAAGGACCTCTGTGGGCTCCAAGAATGGTCGAAGAAATAGCTGCTGAGATTCAGTGTCACGAAGTGTAAGAGGATGCACCTGGGGAGTACCAACGGTAAGGAGGCGTATCATATTTCCCAACGGGATGAAGAAACTGCACAAGTTGAGACTGAATGTGAGAAGGACCTAGGTGTGTATGTTGAAAATGAGCTGAAGTTCCCGTCAGGTTCCCGAGATATGCTAGGGACTGTCAGTTGGTTGAAAATGTTCAGAGGAGGGCCACCAGACTGGTGCCTACACTTCGGCACCTCAGCTACCCTGAAAGATTGGAAAGCCTGAACTTGCCTAGCTTATACTACAGATGGGCAAGGAGTGGCCTAATTGAGGTGTACAAGCATCTCAAGGGGCACTACTCAGTCGAGTGTCCTTACTTGAAGCTGGTGGACGCTCGCCCCACAAGGGGTCACAGCTCAAGATTGAAGAAGCCGCAAGCCCAGAAAACTGTGTGGGCAAACTTTTTCGGAGTGAGAGTTGTGAACTCTTGGAACAATCTTCCAGAAAGTGTTGTGACAGCACCGAGTGTGAGCTCTTTCAAGACAAGACTTGACCAACACTGGAGCAGGTTCAGGTACATTCAGGTGCGGGTGCATGCCCAGTACTTGCCAACAGTGCGTAACAGAGACGTGACCGATCGCCCAAGCGGCTAACGAGCCTATCAGTGGTGAAGAGGATAAAAGTAAAGGTTGTTCCAAGAGTTCATAATTCTCACTCCGAAAATGTTTGCCCTCACAGTTTTCTGGGCTTGCGGCTTCTTCAACCTTGAGCTATGAGCCTGTGACCCCTTGTGGGGCGGACGTCCGCCAGCTCCAGGTAAGGACACGCGACTGAGTAGTGCCCTTTGAGAAGTTTATACACCTCAATTAGGTCCCCCCTTGCCCGCCTAATCTCTCAGGGTAGCTGGCGCCGCCTGGTAGCCCTCCTTTGGACATTTTCAATCAACTGGCAGTCACTAGCATATCTCGAGGACCAGACGGGGTGACAGTACTCCAGGCGGGGATGGACCACAGTCTTGAAGATAGTGAGGAGTGACGGACCGTCTACATATCTGAACGACCTTCTTATATGATCAGTGACGCGACCGATCGCCCAAGCGGCTAACGAGCCGATCAGTGGTGAAGAGGATAAAAGTAAAGTAAATATGACATAATAATTTAGTTGTCTGATTCACCTACTTCTCGCAATGGCCTGAGAACTTCAGTTCATTGTCAACATACACCTGATACACACCTAGGTCCTTTTCACATTCAATCTCAATTAATGCAGTTTCTTCGTCTCGTTGAGACATACAAAACGCCTCCTGACCGTTGGTACGTCCCTGGTGAATCCTCTTACACTTCATGACATTGAATTCTACCAGCCATTTCTTCGACCATTCTTGAAGCTCACAGAGATCCTACTGCAGCTCTTCACATTCTGTTTGGTTTTTAACTTCCTAAAATAACTTGGCGTCATCCGCAAACATTTGTATGGAGGAGTGTACAGCGTCAGGCATGTCATTTATGAAGCAAACAAACAACAGCGGGCTCAATACACTGCCCTGTGGTACCTCGCTTGTGATGGGTACTGTGAGATTGTGAGATGGAGTATCATCGTACGATATGTTTTCCCATGTGTAGAGGCGGGAGTTTGTCTGTGGCAGCGCCGGGTTGCCAGTCACTGTCTGACGCTGCAAGAGTAAAGTCCCCAAATAACCTGGTCTATTATTCAAACCTCTCACATGGCGCAGTGAGTAGGATGCCATGGCCCGACACGCCATAACAGTCCTGACGAGGACGCCAACATAGCTCCCACACGTCCAAGATTCTCGACGCCCTCAAGGGGATGCCAGGGCATCTATACACAGGCAGGGAACACCAAGCGCGCCTAGCAGCAGACCATGAGTGTATTGATGGCTCAGATGGCGTCTCTGGCTACTGGCGGCCACGTTCATGCCCTTACGCCGGTCCTGAAGCCCTCAGCAGTGGTCGCTCCAGAGTAGTGTGAGGCAGAAATGCCAGCAATGGCGTTTAGGACGTGGAGGCGGTCCATGGGTGATATTGAAGGGATGGTCACAGCTGGTGGCTACACTCCACATTCGTCTGAACTGCGTTCCTGTATTCCAATTTCTCCAAAGGGTGATTGACTCGAGATATCCCAGCAGTCAGTGGGAGCAGCTCTCGCCCAAGGAAGCCCTGGACGCCATCATTGGAGTGGTTCTTCAATCATCAAACCAAGCTGTGCAATGGAATGAGTTTTTCAACAGCAAACAAGGTGAAGAGGAGCTCATAAAAAATTAATTTCAATGATGCTTCGTAGAGGCAGTGGGGTGTGAATTTAAATGTCCTTCCTGTGATAACGACCTCTCTGAGTACATGCTATTACGTAAAGATATGGTGGGCCTGAGTAACCCAGTGTTGAAAAGGGAAATTTTCCAGGGGTACTTGAGTTATAATAGTGTTGAAGTGCTAAGAATTAAGTGTATGTTATTTGAGGCAGCAGTGAGAGATGCTGGTGTATTGTGTTTATACGTCTGGCCAGGCAGTGGTGGGAACAGCCACGGAGGCAGCGGCGGTTGGTGATGACGTCACGGCTGAGACTGAGGTAGCTGCCGCCCGACCTGGACACCCCAGTCGTGCGCACTGTGGGAACTGCGCCGTGATGCATGCCCCGGGCAAAAGCAGCTGCCCTGCAAGTGAGGCCACATGTCACAATTACTCTAAGGTTGGTCACTTCAAAAGGTGTTGTAGGAGTAAGTGTTTCTATGGATGTGTCAGGTGCTGTCACAGTGGCAGCAGCCCAGCTATTCCGCCACCCCAGGTTACAAGTGTTTGTGACCCAGGCTGGGGGCAATTCCCCCGCCGCCCCTGTGCTGGCCATCCCTGCTCCAGGACATCAGTTTGTGTCCGGGGCAACTTCAGGCCCGTAATGGCCTGAGGGACGTGGCGAACAAACAGCTCAAGTGTCTGGGGTCCACCCCCTGCCGCCTCAGTGTGGGCGAGGGGACCACCGTCCAGGAGGTCTACTTCATACAGTCAGCCAAGAACCTCTACCTGTCATTGGAGGCTTGCAAGTGCCTTGACTTGGTGCCTGTCGACTTCCCGCTCCATAGGCGTGCTGTGGCTGCCGTGGGCGATGGAGGGGGACAGCACACTGCCGACAACCTACCTCCAAACCCCGGACCTGGGAGCAGTCATGTCCCTCCTAGTCCAGTTGAGATGCCCTTGCCTCCTTTGGAAGAGAATGTGGCAAGGTTGGAGGCATGGCTGCTCATGCACTTTTCATCTACCACATTCAACACCAGCAGGTCCCCACTGCCAGTCATGACTGGTCCCCCCTCACTGTATCCACCTGATGCTCGGCACGACCCCCTACGCCTGTCACACACCTGCTCCCGTTCCGAAACACTGGGAAGCGGAGGTGAAGGCCCAGATGGAGGAGGACGTCAGGAGAGGTGTCATCCAGCCAGTGCCTGTTGGTGAGGCTACGGAGTGGTGCACCAGGATGGTCGTGGTGGCCAAGACAAACGGTCAGCCCGGTGCACTGTAGACTGCCAACGCCTCAATGCAAGCTGTCTGAGGGAGACGCACCACACACCTGCACCATTCGAAATGGTGTCCGGGGTGCCAGTGCACTCGTTCAAAACCGTCGCCGACTCCTTCTGGGGATTTCATCAGGTGGAGTTGGAGGAGGAGAGCAGACGCCTGAGCACATTCATCACGCCGTGGGGCCATTTTTGATACTGCAGTACGCCCATGGGACATTGTACAGCGTCAGATGCCTACACCAAGAGGTTTGACGACGCTATTCAGGATGTGCCCTGCAAGTACAAGTGCGTGGATGAC